GTCATGGGGAAAACTTAAAGTGTAATGTTTGGTGTCAAGTACATACGTGACAATAGGTACATGTGCCTATAGTATCAAAAATGACTTTATTTGCAGTGAATTCTAAATTCTTGTCCTGTCGTAGTATTTTCTTGCTTGGTATTGTGCTTTTCCCCTTAAATTCACTATTCTTTGACAAGGTGAGCGCGCTTAGAGTAAAAATGTTTGATTTTTAAGAGATCAGTCCACAACCACGATGAATTCCACACTCTGTGTGTGGAATTACCAAAATAAATCATAAACCACGGTCCAGAAGAGAACAAACATTTATATGTGCTATTTTCCCCGTACTGATTTTTCTTAAGCAGCTGTTTATGCCCAGTCTCTGATATTTATAAAGGGCAAGTAGACACCCACACCCCCCAGCGCCAGTTGACACACACACCATTTACACAGGCAGACAGCTCCTCCTCGCCTTTGAATGCTGTGTCAAATTGCCCTCACTTTGAAATGATTCAAAAACCAGCTCCTTATTACAATCACCTTCATTTGCTGCCCAGGCAGCGTCAGCCTTTTCTTTGCCCCGAAGTCGGGCTGAACAGGAACCCTGTGCGCCTGGCCCCGCTTCCCTGTAAATGCTTGAAGACTTAGCCAGGGCGCTCCTTCTGTCCCCAGGACTGCTTGCAATGCATTCTACTGCCAGGCTCTGCCTTCACTTAACTGAGGAGGCCTAGTTCAGATTCCTCTCAACGTCCAAGGAAATGAGAAATACACTTTTTAAAGGAATTTGTGACGGCGTTCCATTGGATCACGATTTGTTATAGTCAGCTAGATTTGATTTTTCTCAGCTGGTCATGTGCATACTGTGGGTCCTTCTTCAAAAATAGATCATGCTCTGGCTGTCTCCGATCACTCGACCGTGCACTTGAAAAGCTGGGGTTGTCATTCCCCAAACTTCTGTATATGAAATTGGCAAAGTAGAGTGTTAATGTTGTCGCTGTTCAAATAATTTTGTTGTATTAACATGCCTCGTGGTCAGGGGAAGTCTGAAATCTCAACATAAGTCTGTTCTAGAAAAGCAAGTGGGAATTGGCGTTTCATATAAGCCTTTTTTTTTTCTTCTCAGAAAGAATTGCCCCCAAAAGTAAAATATTGTTTGTGAGGTAGCCCCTGTCAGTTTTTAAATACTACCTCTTTTACTCAAAAATACTGGAAGAATAACTCATGCTGCTTAAGACATTTTTTTTACTGAGTGTCTCCAAAAGCATTTGCAATGGTCAAATTTTCCAATTTACAGCATAATGGGAGAGTTGTTTTCAATATTAAGAATTTCTGAAGCTTAGTGTTTTCTCCACAAATGGACTCCAACATCTTTAAAAATTTCTCCCTACCCCCTGTTCCTATGAAATGTCTTTTTTAAAATGGATACATAGAAGGGTCTTTTGTCAACATCACCCCCTGGATTTCTAGCCCCCACCCCACCCCAC